TCAACCTCTAGGTAGGGCCTTACAAAACCTCTGCTGTTGTAGCTTCTCACTATCAAAAGAATGCACTTGAACAGAAAAGCCACCTTCTGGATTAGAGTTCAAATACCCTTACATTTGTTCTAGTGAAAGAATGACCCTATTTTTTAATAAGTGGTTAATAAAATTATTTTCCATAAAATGTTGCTCAGTGATAAAAAAAAAATTTTAGGATAGAATATGGCATACAGTTTCAAAGATAAGCATTGGTGTGGTTGTTTGGTGCAGCAGTTAGGCCAAATCCCAGAGCTCCCACATCCTACATACAAGTGCCTGGGTTCCAGGACTGGCTTTACTCTCCATTCCAGAGTCCTATTAACAGGCACCCTGGGGAGGTAGCAGGGGACACATCCAGTTGCATCCCTGCCATCCATATGGGAGGCCAGACTTGAGTTCCTGACTCCTGACTTTAGTCTGGTTCAGCCCTAGCTGTTGTGGGCATTAGGAGAATGAACTAGCAGATGGGAGATCTCTCTACAAACTATCACTCTCCTGCTCTCTCTCTGCTTTTCAAATAAATACAATAAAATATTTTTTAATTTCTTAAAAGTATGCATCTGAACAATATGACTTTTAAAATGTTTCTTAGAAAGCCCTTGATAGAAAGGCTTGCTTAAAATACAGCTCAATAGCTGTATTTTAAATATTATTTAAGCATTAAATATGTTTTCAACTTAACTAGTGTTCTTCAACCCAACACAGTGAAATCAGAATGAATCTGAAACAGTAGATACAAAATGCCATTAATACAAATTAGATTTTACAGCACAGCTCAATAATAGTATTAATTCCTGGGTTTGGCACTGTCATATATCACAACAACAACAACAAAAAATACACCAAACTTACTATTAAGTATAACCTAGAGAAATGTATACTTTCATAGACACATGGAGTTCAAATCTTGAAGTATTGCAAGAGAAGAATAGTAAATCAGTGCTACCTTTCCTGTAAACTCTGATTTTCAGCAATAAAGGAAATGCATGTTAGTTCTAACTATGGGAAATTTACATATTACATATGAAATACGTTTACTATCTATTGTCTATGCAAAACTATATGAATACAAAACACCCTTTTGCCTTTGAGATAGTTAAAAACAGCCATAACTACACTTCCCAGATGTTTCCAAAAACAGGGAGTACAATAATTCACTCTGCTTTCCCTAAAAAAGGACAATCCATCTTCAGTATTTGAAGAGTACTATGAAATTTAACAGTACTAGTACAAGAGGATTTCAAAAATTCTGTGGAAAACGCATTGTAAGTGAGTAAACACTTAATCTATCAGATAAACCCCCTGGGTCTCCTGTCGGGGTTCTTAGGCTCTCCTGAGTTCAGCTTCCTGTTAGGCATCCTGTGAAGCAACAGGTGATGGTTGGATGGATTGGGACTCTGCTACTCCTGTGGGACACCTGGATTGATCTCCCAACTCCTGGCTTCAGTCTATCCCAGCTCTGGTCATTGAGGACATCTGGGAAGTGAACTGACAGATTGGAAATCTCTGTATCTTTCTGCCTCTGAAATGTGTGTGTGTGTGTGTGTGTGCGTGTATAAAAATAGCAAATGTATATTATGAAAATATAATGCATAGATTTCAAAGTTTTTTTGCAAAGTATCTTTAAAGTCCATTTTCCACTAGTTTTTAAAGCACTCTGTGGACATTGTAGTGTACTAAAAAGCCTTGATTAATCATTAGTTCAGAGTGGCAGTACTTAAATGTGTCCATGTAGCCAAACAAAGGTGGTATAAATGTTTAATAGACTGGATATAACACTGAGTATAAGAGCCCAAACATGGACACAAGCACTTAGGGAGATATGAATCCAGCTCAGTATTTATCAGAAAATGTTGCCAAAGTTTCAAATCCTTGTAGAGAGTGCTAAAACACATCTTGGCCTTGAATCAGAAATGGCTTCTGATGGAGTCACTCCAGGAAAACTAACTGGAATATGATTGGCAAGCCTAAGTGAGTTAGCCTGAAGAATTCAAGTTCCAGGAAATAATTAAGTTAGGTAGTTGTTTCAAACCTGTGAAAATTTAGTATACTATCATCTAATTGCAAAGTAACTTTCTAATTAACTTTACAATTAAATTACTATACCTACTCTAAAAAATAAAATTTAATGTTCACAAGAATGATAAGGTCCACAGCATATTACTTATAATGGTAACAGCTTACGCTTCTAAAGATTTTACTATGGGTTAGGCCTAAATATAAGCACTTTACATGGATTCTCAAGTCCTACGAAATTGCTACTCTGATAAACTCCACAATTTGAGAAGAAAGTAAGATACAGAACAAGTCAGTAATTTAACCAAGATCACACATTTGGCAAATAGTAGCACCTGGGATTACTGAACCATTTGACTTAAACTATTTTCCACTTTCCCTTTCTACAGCAGACATTCAGAGGCAGTAGAGAAAATTAAAATTGGTGTTCAGGTGTATAAACTACAATTCCATAATTTTTAGAATAGTAGCAAACTACAAAATTCACAAATAACCTGAATTTTAAAAAAAAGTCAAAATAAGATTTATACACTTGATAAATGCAAGTTATACAATAAATATGTATTGAAAGAACCATGTCAAAGGGAGAAATAAAAGATATGAAGTCTCTTTTCTGTATCTAAAAAATAAGTAGTTAAACAGCATCTAGTAAGTTTGCTTTTGTGATTATCACTCAAAATCTTTTTTAAAAGGGACTGTACTCTATTATTTTAATTGAGTAGGATGGATATACAGAAATTTTACAAGATATTTTCATTCACCAAACAGTAAAAGGAATCCCACTAAAACTAACTTGTGAAAATGCAAATGTACAAAATATAAATATATATAAGTAGACAAGATTAATTTTATGTCCATAATTTAAAATGATAATTACATTTGATTGATCCATGACTGGATTTACCCTTTTAAAGTAACAATATTTCATTACCTTCCTTCCAAATTAGGATAATCAATGTGGTTGTGGGAGTCTCCCTTAGAATTATGGGACTACCATGACCGAATCTCAGAGCTCATTAGAAATGTAAGTACTCTGCAAGTGGTTATTAACAATCTGAATATTTTATTTTATTTAATACTTCATTAGGCCCAGAAGTGAAACAGATCCGGAATTCAAGCATCTCTCAAATTACCTTATTTTTAAAATGGCTTAGTTTCCGATCTCAGTAGAGCCTCTTAGAGGCATGTTTTCCTTAAGTAGAGACTAACTGTATTATCTTTTCATCACCTAAGTAATAAACATTCTCAATTCTACAACTTTCTTGTGGAAAAAGGAAGACCAAAACTTGAAGATTTTTGAACTTTCAGAAACTTAACTCCACAGAACACTGATTCTTAAATCTTCTCTGACAAGTCACTGGCTAGCAAGTCAAAAGTTCACTTCAATGCATCTTCTGAGATGACTGGATACATATCTGTTGAAATTATATATATGATTAAAAAGTTGTCGATAAAGGTCTTGTTGATAAAGAATACAATGTACAGAATACTAAAAGTAAATTACTTAATACCTATTAAAGAGATATCAATTTTATATGAACTATAAAATACTAGCTTCCCTTGATTAGCTTTTCTGACTACCAATCATCTTACTGTGTAACAAGTAACACTTTGATAAAAATCTTTCTTTAGTGGGCACTTCATTTAGTTCTCTGTTGAGCTGCTTTCTAGGTGGGATCCAGCTCTATTTAAAAGATAATGTAACACTAACAGTTCGTGAGCTGTGTTTCCTCACCCTACCTCCAAGAATACCAGAATATACAAACACTGCCACCTTCCCATCAAGCTTGCACCTGTGCCAGGAGAGGTCTCTTCCACTTCTCTAGCCAAAATAACGTTCAATCCGCAAATAGTGGGTGCATTTCTAGAACACATAGTCTGTTTCCATTATAGTCCTTCAATGCTGGGCTCCATTACACCACAGGTAAATTTTAAAGCTGCTTGTTTTTGTGCCAAAGGAAAAACGCTTGCCAAATCATGTTCCTGCCGGCATCCCAGCTGGCTCATCATTTGGCCAAGTTGCTCTCTGGTCGTTGTCCTCGGCCCTGCATAGACGTCACTGGGTATTGTGCTCAGCGCACCTCCCAGCCCAGGGCATGGCTGAGGTGTCTGGTGGAGTCCTTGACCTCCACAGGGCTCCCTCCCGCCGCGCACTACGAAGAGCATCCTGCCAAATACTTTCCCAGATCCTCAGTCTCAGAGGCAAAACCACCGCATTTATTCATTCACCTTGGAAAAGTGTATTCCAACCCCCTTTGGCATTCAGGTATGCAGAAAGGACTGCGAGCGCGAACACACACACACACACACACACACCCTTTCCTAATCTCCAACCCTGACGGTAACGCTCAGACATTCTAACTCCAGTTCCTTCCAAACTCCCCTGCCAAAACCCTGGGCGATTGCGCTGCAAGTGCTAAGTGGCTCGGGGAAAATGTGTTTTCCCAACCGTGCGTGGAAACCTTTCTCCACCAGGCGCCCCAAGACAGCGCACCGGCAGCACTTGCCCCCATGGCTTCGGAAACCACGCGTCACCAGACGCACGGGCGCCGGACCTGAACGGCTGCCAAGCAATCCTGGCCGCGCGCGCCGGTGCCTGGATGCCACCCTGCCCTCTGGAGGGACGCCGCGAACAGACACGCAAGTTGACCTACAGGAGCCCCGGGGAGGACGACGTCCGCGACCAGCCCCGTGTCCGTCTCCCTTCCGCTCGTCCTGGGCAGTAGAGAGCCCCGGACGGAGCAAAAGGTCAGTCAATCCCGACTGAGCGGTCCTGCGTGCAGCCGTGTTTCATCGCGTTGCGCCCACTGCACCAGGGAGCGCTGCCCGCAGAAATTGGGTAAGGATCTCCCGCCCAGGACACTCCTGCCCCGTCTGCAGCCTGGCCAGAACGCGCGGCAGGTGCGCGAGGGGCGGGGCAGAGCCAGACAATGCGGAAGCCGCGGACTTACGGAAGAAGATGTACTCGGTGTAGCTGCTCCAGATCTTGTCGTCGCGGTACTGGTTGACGAAGGCGGCCGTGCCCGACGAGTTACACGCCACCATGTGGAAGCCGGCCTCCGACAGGCGGTCGAACGCCTGCTCCAGGTAGGTGAACTTGAGGTAGAAGCGGGACGTGTACTTCTCGGGCTGCCGATCGGGGTCGCGGCTCTCGTTCAGCGTGTCCCCGAAGACCTCCTTGGCCAGCGCGATGCGCCCGCACACCATGATGCGCGCCACTCGCCGGAACTTGGCGTCCGCCTGGTTGTCGCGCACGGTCGTGTAGGAGCCGCGGTAGCCCAGCGTGAGGAAGCCGGAGCGCTTGTCCAGCGCGCCGCCGCCGCCGTGCGCTCCGGGGCCCGAGGGCGCGGCGGCCGCCGCCCCACGGAGCAGCAGCGCGTCGGTGCTGCCCTGCGAAACGTTGTCCTCTAGGTCGCTCTGGCAGCCTTCGTCGTTGAGCGAGTTCTGCTTGGTGACCTTGGGCGACAGCAGCTTGACCAGGTCGGTGAGCTGGAAGTACTCGGCCTCGCGCAGGAGCCGCTCTTTCTCGGGGAAGTGCTCGGGCAGCGCCAGCTGCTTGTCCCGCAGGTAGTCCAGCACGTACCTGAAGAGGAAGCCGTCTCGGTCGATGAAGAAGCGCGCCCGGCTGTCCCTGGGCAGCTCGCCCCGGCGCCGGGCGCCGCCCCGGGGACTCGAGGGCGAGAACATGCTGGCCAGAATGCTGTCCGGGACGCTGAGCAGCGTCGAGTGCTTGGTCACATAGACCTGGCCACCCACGTTCAGCTCCACCACCTCGGGGAAGGGCGAGGGCGCGCAGGGCCCCGGGGCAGCGGCGGCCGCCGGAGCGCCAGGCGAGCTGGATGAGGAGACCATCTCGCTAATGGGCAGGATGGTGCTGCCGCCGCTGCCCGTGTCCTTCAGAGCCATGGTCCCTTCGCCGCCGGCCAGGTGACCCGGGAGAGCAGCACTTTCTGGTTCCCGGAGCCCGCGGGCCCTCGGCGTGCGCCCGCCTTTGCCCTCCGCCGGGGCAGCCTGGCTCAGAGCTCAGGGCAGCGGCGGCGTCGGCGGCGCCCGAGCTCCATCGGGGGAGCGACGCGCGGATGTGGAGCTGGGCGGCGCGGCGCGGCGGCGGCTGAGATAGCGGTGTCGGTGGAGGCGCGCGCAGGAGCGGCTGCGCCTCCGGGGCGCCGACGGGGAAGTGTGCGAGCGACTTGTGAGAAGCTCTGGGGCCGCAGCTCGGCTCTCGGCGGGGGAGGGCGGGAGGAGGGGCTGCGCGAGGAAAACTCGCCGCCCAGGCAGCTGGCGAGCGCGCCGCGAGCCGGGAGGGCGGACGGTGGCGCTCACTACTCCTCGCAGCCCGGGAGGCGGGCTGTGACGTCAAGCCCCGGCCTGGGACCCGGGCCACGCTGTCATTTAAAGCGATAGGCTCGGGGGGTGGGCTGCGCGCTCCGACGCTAGGGGGCGGGCCGGGGGCTGATGCTGCTCCTGGAGAAGCGGGCGGCAAACGACCTGAGGAAAAGGACAGCGTCTCCAGCTGGAGCGGTCCATCCCTTCCTTCACTCTTTCCTCCCCTTCTTCACCCCCATCCTTAACGCCTCACCTCCAGCCCCGATGCTCGCCCGGTAAAACTAGTGTTTTTCGCTCGCCCTAAGGTGAGCGTGGGGAACGGCCGAGGGAGCGGAGGTTTTTGGTTCTGACCATCTAATGTGAAATCCCCGCAGCTGCTGGCATGCCGGCAGAGTGAAAGCTGTCGCCGCGGCTTGGTGGCACTTTTGGGAACGGAGGGCGGAAAGGCTGTGATTCCGCTGCAATCGGATTGTGTGCCTGCGTTCAGAACTGCATGGTCTACGTAGAGTTCAGGATGGACAACTCGAATCTGTTCGCACGTCACAGAATCAGTGAGGGGCTGTCATGGAGCTGTTTCTTCATTTGATCTTTGCAGAATTTGACTCAAGTGGGTGCTTGGTAGATGTGGAGGGAGGGGCTGAGGCGGGGAGAAAATTCACCCCATTTGTTCACAGTTTTGATCAGTCCCTCCATAAGTCTCTCCGTTGACCGTTCAACTCCATAGAGCTGGGTAAATGGAGTGTATTTGATTAGTCTTCTAACTCCCAAGAGTCAGGTCACAAATGGAAATTACATGAATTTAAGGTCACCTTTATTGCCACTTGCCTATGGCCCAGGTAGTACCTTTCTGTCTGAGGAAGAGTAAGGATGGAAATGTGGACAGGAGCTCTCTCTTCTGCTCTGTGTGGGAGAAGCCAACGTATTACCCATCCAGAGGCGTCCTTCTGCGTTCTGAAACACGAAGAATTCTTTATCTATAAAGCCCAAAAGTGAAAAGTCTATTGTGGTACAAAGTAGTGATATTGTAAGTGAACTTTATCTACTAATAGTAAAATGACATACAGATTGTACTATTTTTTAAGATATCTTAAATGCTTACTTAAAATCCCTTCCTCTCCACCAAAAAATGTTACCACCTTTAAGACACGATTGTTGCTTTAAATTTTAATGAACAATCAATACGTTATTCATTGTAAACTATATTTAATTAATTGATCCTTTTAAGCCACATCCACAGAAAATATTATGCTAATTTTTGAAATCTGATTACCTGCAGCAGAGAGAGCCTGCTGGGCCAATGAAAGAACACAATGTGTTTGCCAAAAGGCCAAGACTTAGGGCTGTATTTATTGTGTGTGTCTTCATGCAGTTCTTTTACTTAATCCTAATGCCTCCCCACATTTATAAAATGATTGATAAAATTAAGTAGAATTGATTTCATTCTTCTTCGTTTAAAACCTAAAACCAAGCATTGAAATTTCCTATTGGCATAATGGGAAAAATAGACTGTTTTCTATGTCATTTGAAGCACAGCAAACATTTGTAACTTAAAGTCATACACTGGAAAAAGGGATTAGTAGATTTATAACTTTCAAAGATGAATAAATAATAATGCCTCAAACCACTACTAATGAAATCCATTTATCATGAGGTAAATGTCTCTAATGATAAGTATGGTACAGATGATAGAATTGTAATGAAGTGGATAGACAATATATATAAATACATATATATGGATAGGAACACTTCAACATTATTAATCTGAAATCTGTAATTACATAAAGCATACTTATAAAATAATCTAAAATTTTTATTCTAAATGAATTGCCTTGTGTGATACATTGCTTTTTAAAAGCATGTCTTTTCAACGCTGATTGAACACTTCATCTGCTTCATCTCGCTGTTCCCTATACGCATCTTATTGCTTTCCTTTCCACACCTGCCAACCAAACTGGAAAGAGAACAAATCGCAGCTCCTGAATGTTTGTCTCTCTCTTTTCTGCTAGGAATGCCTTTCCTCTTCCACCACTCTCTAATCTCTTCCCTCTGATTACTCTGTCTTCCAGGTCTGACTTAAATACCACTTTCTCTGAAAATCGTAAATTTACATTTTTCACCCAACCTAATTAAGGGCCCTCCTAATATGTTCCCACAGGATCCAGTGCTTACATATAAACAAGGTTGATCACTCCAGTGTTTAGCTGTCTCCCACCAGATTTTAAGTATAGCATGAAATTGATGCTCTCCTCTGTTCTCCAGAGTGGTGCCTAGCCCTTAAGACACAGCCAGTTTCCATCCGTTTAATGCTGTCTGCGTAGAAATGTGCTCCTAGTGTAAATGGGTGACGATGTATCACATGGATGCTGGGCACAAAGCTAAGCATGAGATTGCAGAGACAAGTTCTTACTCAACATACTAAGAATTAAAATCAGGGAAAGTAAGAACAGAATCTGATCAAAAGAAACTCATATCTAAAGAGGGGAAAGTAGGGGCCGGCACTGTGGCATAGAGGGTTAAAGCCACGGCCTGCAGTGCTGGCATCCCATATGGGCACCGGTTCGAGTCCTGGCTGCTCCACTTCCAATCCAGCTCTCTGCTATGACCTGGGAAAGCAGCAGAAGATGGCCCAAGTCCTTGGGACCCTGCACCCGCGTGGGAGACCCAAAAGAAGCTCCCGGCTCTGGATCGGCGCAGCTCCGGCTGTTGCGGCCAATTCGGGAGTGAACCATCAGATGGAAGACCTCTCTCTTTCTCTCTGCCTCTCCTTTCTCTGTGTAACTCTGACTTTCAAATAAATAAATCTTTAAAAAATAAAATAAAGAGGGGAAAATAGACAGTTGAAGCAGTCCATTTGGTGAACGGAGCAATCCACACAAGCGACTGTAATCAACCATTTTGCGTTAAGCCACAGACACCAATAATCTTATCACAAACGCAAGTGCTTCCTAAAAGCTTCTGCTACTGTGCAAAGGCCAGCCATCAAATTTCTCTGACTAGAAACTACATTAGAATAGTTCCAGTTCCCAGTGTATTTTAAAATAGCCAAACCCTTAGCAAACAAATGGAAGACAATATATCAAGTCCAGATAATAATGCATAATTTACATTTTAAAATAACACATGAAATATTTGTTTAGGAGTCTGAGAGTGACTTAAAGACAGAAGCTGTATCTTATTTGATTGAGAGAAATAACATTTCAAAAGGTAGCAGTGTGATCTAGAGTAGTGTGGAACTAGATTAGAAACCTAGCTTTCTTTACTACCTTTGTGGTTTCAACTACTTACTTAACCCTCTGAACCTTGGTTTCCTCAGGTAAAGTGGAAGAAATAAAGATCACAAGCTTCTTGTTCAATGATGTTCCCACTAACAGGGCCATCTGAGTGTGATGAGGTCACTGTATTTATTACATGACTTCCACACCGTGGTTCTGTGGAAAGGAAACACAGCCATATCCTAACTCCACAGAGCTAAGATCCTGCTTTAGGATTGTAGTAGTTCCACCTACTTTCTTTCCAACTATTCAACTATTCACGTCTAAGACTGGGGGCTCATCCTGCAAGGCTTGCACCGTTGGGGAGAGCGGGATGACAGTGTTCTTCCACAAGAAGAACTGTCCCCACTGGGGACAGGCTTCGGTGAATATGTCCACTGTATTAAGGATCAGGGCAGGCAGAGGGGGCATAACTAATGCAGGGCAATACTGATTCTATAGGATGAAGCTGATATTGGTGCCGCTATGCTTCTCCAATCAGCTTGAAGGCCACAGAGCTAGGGTAGCTTTCCAGGTGGGCCTGGGCCACACCCAGGTGCAGTTTACCTGATTGGCAGGGGTAGGGGAAAATGTGCCCTGGGGCGGGGCTCCTGCTGCCTGCCAGCAGCCAGGCTGCAGAGTCCCGCCGGGGAGACGTGTCTCACCATTACCATGCCCTCTCAACATCCCGCTTGGACAGGGCAGGCAGCCTCACGGAATCACCCACACAAGACAGGGGTAACGGAACCCTACAGTTATGAAATCTCCACATCACTTTGTCCTTCGCTGGCTGTATCCACTGCAGTCTCCTTCTTGCACATTCTCATCCAAGACACCGACATAATTTCATTGATATAAATTTATCTTGTCCCAATTCTTTAAAAATATTTGTTTTGTAACTTCTGACTGTGGTCTAATTAGTTTATTTAAGCTCCATAAATCCAAAATATTATCATTTCAATGTATAATCAAGCAAATATATTAATGAAATAATTTACATTTTTTCCTATAGTCAGTCTTGAAAACACAATATGTATTGTACAATCATCACAATTCAGACTAGCCACTTTTCATGTGCTCAATAGTCACATGTAGCAAGTGGGTATTATATTACACAGCACAACTGTAGAGCATTTGTACCTCTAAAGCACCTACATGTTTTAAAGATTAAGTAGGAAAACATGACTTTCATAAGGTTTTATTACAGGGCTGTGATGGTTGGAGCCTGGAGCTGAGTGCTTGAGTAGAGTCATTTAACAAATACAATAGGGACTGCAAAACATCTATCAAGCACCAAAAGAGAAAACACTGTAAAGAGAAGAAACTAATTAACTACCAAAAATTTGGATTTGCCTGACACGAGCACCACACTCCCATAATGATGAAATTTGAACAAGTTTTGCAGCATATATCCCTCTTGAGTAAAACAGACAAGGCAATGATTGTCTTGTGGGCAAATGATGTCATGCAATGGAAGAAGTAAGTTTCCTGCCAGGGTAAAACAGCGGGTTAACCTGTATAGTGCAAGACAGAAGATGAAGTGAGAAGGACACCTACAAATTCAACAAGTTAGAAAGCAGAAACTCACATATCAGCTTTGAGAATATCAATGACTCTTTGAAAAGAAAAATGTATTCATGTAAATTATTTAGAAAATTCAGTGTCTATGCTTGATGCAGATGTTAGTATTTAACAGCAATTTTAATGAGTGTCTTAATATAATGTGATTTAGTTCTTGTATACGTAAAAATTTACAGAAGTACTATGAACATTAGGGTGATGCCATATAAAACTATGA